TAGATTCAATAGCACAAAGATTAGTTTTTCTATGTCTTCTTCCTTATTTAGTTTTTCTATTTCTATCTCTCTCTATACCACATTCTGTCATTCCTGTTTTTATATTTATGTTTTACTTCACTTCTGTGTCCTCCTTAGGTCCAATTCAACATCTTTTAGCAGCTTTTAGAAAAGGAAAATAGTTATTTTCCATCATTTTATTTCTGTAATCATTGAAATCTATAAGCCAAGAAATTTTGGAAACAATTTTAGCTTAATGCCTTAAAATGAAAATGCCTTTTTTAAAACCAATTTCAACTGTCCTTAGAGATGCTAAAATTTATTTTTAAATGTAATGGATTAAATGATCTATTTAAAATAAGGACAGAGTGGAAAGAATCAGGGAATGGCTGGAGTCAAGGTATGCTACAAATAACTGGGGCAGTGGGAATGTTTCAGAATGGGTTTTCAATGTTTTTTATTTGCTTAAGCTCTAAAGAGAAAGTAGAATAAATGAATATTAGAGTAAATGGATAGAAATTTGGGGAAATCTGAGAGTTGTAGCTCTAATCTGCCTATGGTGATTTCTTTAGGGTCTCCAATTTAATGTTTATATATCATGTGAATTTTTCATTCTATCTTATAATGTATCCATGCTCACTTTTTAATTTAAAATATTCCCAAATCTCCTAGTAAAATCATTGGTTCTACAAGAGACTTTTTCCTCCTGTGCCTTCTTATTCATTCAGTACTCTGTTAAATATCTCAAGAAGTGGTGCCCCAGTTTGATAAGCTCAGCACTGTAGCAAAAAAGTTGGGGTATCTGGTGGAGCTTGTTTACTGTCTTGCTTCCTATCACTATTCCCAAAAGTGACTAGGTATGACAGTGCTAAAAGTTTGAATGGGGTAGATGGTGGTGGTAGCTGACTCTCTGATAAATGGCTGTCTTCAAATGCAATGGACTGTTTGAGTAGAGAGTGAGCATTCTGAGTGGAGGTGTTTAAACAGAAAGCAAAATATTATTGAGAACCTCATTGTGGGGTAAGACTGGATAAATGGTCTATCAAAAAGAATCTGGTTCTTATCCTAGTAGAGTAAAAAGGAGACTTTCATTTTGCTATCAGGCATTCTATTGTTAAATTGATCATTTATATTAAGATGCAAAGACATAAAAAATTCTAAGGTGGGGGCAGTGACTCATGCCTGTAACTTCAGCACTTTGGGAGACTGAGGCGGATGGATTGCTTGTTCAAGACCATCCTGGGCAACCTGGTGAAACCTCGTCTCTAAATAATGCAAAAATTAGCTGGGCATGGGGGTGTGCACCTGTAGACTCAGCTACTTTGGAGTCTGAGGTGGGAGGATCTCTTGAGCCCAGGAGGTGGAGGTTGCATTGAGCCAAGATGGCACCACTGCACTCCAGCCTGGGCAACAGAGTGAGACCCTGTAAAAAAAAATCCAGTGGCGTTATTGGGGTTCAATAAAACTAACAGAATAATAAACCAAGTAGTAGTAAACATTGGAGATAGTACTGTTGACTGTAAAATTTACTGGTGAAATAAATGAAACTGTAAAACAGAAAAACTGTTGACTAAAATTTACTGGTGAAATAAATGAAACTGTAAAACAGAAAAAAAACCTGTAAAACCTTGGTTTTATTGGAAATAAAACAAAGTTCTGACTAAAATATATGCACACAAAAACTGGATTGGAAATATATTGTCCTCTGGCTAGCGGTGTTGGGCAGAAAAAAGTGAAGAGATGATGGGAGGAGGAAGGGCAGAAAAGAGCTGAGGATGGGGCTGAGAAGAGTTTTTACAATTTTTATCTTTTTTTCTGTTTTTGACCTGTTGAGCTGGATTCTTACTACCTCCTATTGCTGCTGGAGACTAATCAAATAGCCCAAGGAGCCCCAGGACTATTTTCAGGCATTCTTTCTTTCTACTACCATCTTGGCTACTGTTTATCTAGGGTTTCTATGGGAATCCATCTGGGTTCTTTCATTGTTTATAACTCAAAAAGATAGGCCAGACACGGTGGTTCACGCCTGTAATCCCAGAACTTTGGGAGGCTGAGGCGGGCAGATCACGAGGTCAGGAAATCGAGATCATCCTAGCTAACACGGTGATATTCCGTCTCTATTAAAATACAAAAAATTAGTTGGGCGTGGTGGCGCGCCCCTGTAGTTCCAACTACTCAGGAGGCTGAAGCAGGAGAATCACTTGAACCTGGGAGGCGGAGGTTGCAGTGGGCCAAGATTGCGCAACTGCAGTCCAGCCTGGCGACAGAGTAAGGCTCCGTAAAAAAAAAAAAAAAAAAAAAAAAAAAAACGAAAAAAAAACCCCAAAACAAAATGAAACTCAAAAAGATTAGCTCTGAGGTTGGGAAAGATACAAGTAATTTCCTTCTTTTTAAAATGCTGATGCCTCTAATAGCTTGCTATCCAAGTTTACTCTGTAGACCAGCCGCATAGACAGAGCTTGTTGGAAATTCAGAATCTCAGTACCTAACTGCTTGTATTCGTTTTCACGCTGCTGACAAAGACATACCCAAAACTGGAAACAAAATAAGATTTAATTGGACTTACAGTTCTATATGGCTGAGAGGCCTCAGAATCAAGGCAGGAGGCAAAAGACTCTCCTCACGTGGCAGCAGGGGCAAGCGAAATGAGAGAGAAGCAAAAACCGCAATCCCTGATAAACGCATCAGACCTCTTGAGACTTATTTACTATCCCGAGACTAGCACGGGAAAGACCAGCCCCTCATGATTCAATTACCTCCCCGGGTCCCTCCCACAACACGTGGGAATTCTGGGAGAATTCAGGTTGAGATTTCGTGGGGACACAGCCAAACCATATCACTGCTGAATCATAACCTTTATTTTAACGAGATCCCCATGGGATTCTAATGCACGTTAATGTTTGAGAAACACTGATCTAACACATTTGGTTTACCTTCGCATAGGGCGTACTCTACTCCCAGGGTGCCAGTGATTTCCTGGAATGAGTAATTGAGGCTGTCCTCTCTCTTAATTAACCCATTAATCCATTTCACAGCTAATCCTTATAACAAACCTTCAAGATACCTTAATCCTTATATTGCAGACGAGACAGGACAGGTTAAGTAACTTATTTAAGGTCATGCATCTTATAAATGGTGAAGATGTTGTATCTGGGTCTCAGTCTGACGACTCTCAAGTATTTTGTTGTTGTTGTTCCTATACTATATTGCTTTTTGTTGAACTTAATCATGGGTAACTGTTTATGTATTGGGAGATGAAATCCCACTTAAACATAAGGGCTGTAAAAGAGAGCTCTTTTGAGTGTGTTAAAAGAAAAATGTCTTTCATTCAAAAATTATTTTAAATGCTGTTTTACTCTTTCCATGGGACGAAGCAAAAAAGACAGAGTGAAGCACCATTGGAGAAACCTGGCAAAATGGGAGAACTCCATCCTGTCATGCACACACTTCATCCTGCCCATCAGCTGACTTGCATCTTGCTGCTGCTGGGGCAGGCCCCGTATGTTCAAGCCTGTGTTGAACCAGGTGCTAAGAGCAGTACTGATTGTATTATGTTGAGGCTGTCCATATGCCTCCATGCAAACTGTAGTTCAAAAGCTGTAAAACTATTTGCATTTTCATTTTATCAGATGGCTTTGAACAAAACCAGTGCCAATAAGGCTATTTTGATGCTTTATATTTGCCAAGACTGTAGGGCTTATGGCCATCAACCAATTATTAAGAAATACTTAATTTTCAGAATAGTTATATTTTCCAGGGATAGTTGCAAGTGAAGAAACCCCATAAAACACTGGAGATGACCTTGATTATCTTTGTTCTTGGAAAACCGTATTTAGCTGGAAAAATTGGGGAGAGGCTGGAGGATTCTGGGTGGGTTTAGCTTTGGGTTTGTAGCCCACATGGACCTGTTTCAGGCTGGGTGACATCTAGTGTGGACTGTACACACTGCACAAATATTACTTAGGTAATAGATAACTAAAATGAGCAATGGATTAGGAGCATGAAGTGAGCATGAGGCAGTCCCAGTACCTTTAAGGTAGAACTGAGTGCCTGGTGGGGGAAGGGGATGCAGACAGTTTTCAGCTGGGTAAGGATAGGGGAAGAATTGATATTCCTTGATTGATGTCAGGGCTGTTCTCACACTTGCAGGGGCCTCTGTTGGCTCATCCTTGTAAAAGGTGTATGAGTTCTCTTTCCTCTGCCTTGGCCAGCTTTTTCTAAAGTGATGACCTTGAGAACCTTCAAGCTTAGGACCTTTCAGAGCCGGGTTTGCCACCTGGGAGTGGGGCCTGATAGTGGCGTCCTCCTCAGTGGCACATTCCTCGAGTTCTCCATAGTCACTCTGTCCTTCCCTACTGCTCTCTTCCTGACGTTATCAGAGGACTGGGACTCGCGAGAGAGGACTCACGGACCTCTAGGACCTATTAACTTGACAGCCCCGCTCCTCTGTTCAAGCCAGCCCAACTCGGAGAACTCACAGTTATCCTCGAGAGTAAAGAAAGCTCTTAAGAGTTTTTTTTTTTTTTTTTTTTTTGGGGGGGCTTTTTTTTTTTTTTTTTTTTTTTTTTTTTTTTTGTTTTTTTTGTTTTTTTTTTTTTTTTTTTTTTTAGAGTTTTTTAAGGCACCCCCTTTAAAGATTTTTTTTTTTTTTTTTTTTTTTTTTTTACAAACCTATTTTAAATGTCAGTCCAATATCCACGGGAGCGAGCGACAGCAGGTAATTAAAAGCAATTAGCTGTCCCCTGCCGGGAAGTTTGCCTTTCTCTGTCTTCCTCTTCCGTCCTTCCTCGTCGCGTGAAAGCGGTGGAAGTGCTTTGCTCCCTAAGCAGCGGTGTACGCCGACGAGCTGGCACAGGAATGAGGGATGGACTAAGTGGGGAGTAGCTCTCCTCCCATCGCCACGTTGGCCGCGGGCGCAGAGGTGCATTGTAGAGGCCGAGCGCGCCGCAGCGGCGGGAGCTGCGGCCCCAGCATCTCGCGGCGGGAGCTGTCCTGGGTGCTGACCGTCCCGTCCGCCGCCCGCCGCCCGCCGCCCGCCGCCCGCCGCCAGCCCTGCGCGCCCTCCTGCCCAGGACACCGCCAAGTCGGGCCTTTTCCCCATCCTCCGTCTGCCAGTCTTTCTCTTTTAATCTAGGGGCGTAGCTGCTGCAGGAAATCATGGTGTTCGCTCCAGGTACACCGCACCTTGCTTTTTCACCGGGTGTCCAGGAGGGGAGCAGGGTAGGGGACCGAGAGGAGAGGGAGAAAAGGCCTTTACCTTACGGCCCATCTGCGTGTTTCGGAGTTCCTGTCTGTGTTCGGGGGCGGGGGAGTGCCTTGGCGCGTCGCCTTCGCCCCTCTCCCCGGTCCCGCCCCAGCTGTCCTCTAACACCCTCCAGCCCTTCCTCGTACTCGTCCCGCTGCTCCTCTTCCCGCCTAGCTCCTCCACAGCCCCTCCGAGCTCAGGCGCCTTGAGAACTGGGACTTTGGCCAGCAGCACGGGCACCTACAGGGGCGAGAGAGAGGAGCGGTGGGGCAGAGTGTAGTGGGCTTCGGGCTACTTGCGTGGGAATCTCCTTCACTGCTACTTCCCCCTCCGCAGAATTGGCAAAGTGACCCGGGTCCTCCTGGCCTTCCGAGGAGAAGGAGGCGAAGTGGGCAAAGCCAAGGGGAGTAGGACGAAGGGCAGAGGAGCGACACTCCTTAAGGAATTAGCTCTGACACTCTGGCCAGAGGCTGCAGCACAGAGGCAGCTACTGCGGCGCGCTGGAGGTTGCAGTGTCTTTTTGGAGCAGGCAGTGAAGGACCTTGGTCCCTTTGCTGCTCTCCGTGGGTACAAGTTGGAGAAGAGTCAGATTTGTCTGCGGTTGACCGGCTTACCGGCGTGTGCATGCGTGGGCATTTGAGTCCGCCCTACCGGAGCAAGGGATGCGTATCAGGGAGGCCAGACTAGGCGAGGAAGGAGGGAAAAGCGTGGTCATTGTGAACCTCCGACGCTGCTCCTAGGAGTAGATCTAAAGTATTTTAGGGTCTGTTTTCGTTAAAGACTGCCGTGGAAAACAGGGAGTGGGGAAGGCTGGAGAGGCCTAGAACTCTCTAGCTTTGTTACGGGGGTCTTTAACTTGAAAGATTGGCATGCATTTGCTGCGGTCATGGACCTTAAATAGCTGAGGAAAAAAGACATAATGCGTTTTTTTAAAGGGAAGAATGGAGTCTGGGCTTCAAAAAATTCAATTAGCAAAACTTGAGAAGAGGAAGTCAGTCCCCTCCCCCTCCCTCTCAGGATGCCACCTGGGGAGGTAGGGATGAGTTTCTGTGGGCTCTGGCTTTACCGCAGGCAGTGGTTCTTAGGGGACCGCCTTAAAGGAATGCCCAGGAGCTCTTCCCATACCCATCCCAAATAACTCAAGGGAGGAAATTGTTCCATGTAGTGAAGGACATTCGATCAACACTGGAACAAGGAAGTTGGAAAATAGCTCTTTGCTGCATTTATACAGCACTTAACACTTTACAAAGCAGTTTCATGCTGCTATCTCATTTGATCTTCTAATTACCCTAGGAGTTAAGGAATATCATCCTACTTTACCATCCCCAGGGAGGCTGGTTCCAGATAATCTTGTCAGTCTCAAATGGAGTTTTCTGAACTCATATTCTGTCTTTTTCTCCCAGAACCTTTCTTCCTGACAAAATGTCTTGCCGGTTTCAGGGGTACATGCTTTGTGGTCCAAAGTCAGATGTAGCTAGAGACTCAGCATATCCTTTCCTTTCCAAGGAGGGGAGAAACATGGTGTTGTCCAAGAGTTATGGTTAACTAGGCATTTTCTAAGAGCAAGATTGTGAGTGATGGCTAGTGTGATGAACAATGGTGAATGTCTGGAGTGGACTGGCTTGGTTTAAAGAGCTCACAATTTGGATAGGACTTTACTTTTCCATTTTGCTTTCAAGTTTTGTATTAGTGTTTTGCTCTGTATGGAAAGTGAAAGTTATTCATAACTGTCAGAGATGGCATAAATTGACCTGAATAGGATAGATACAAAAACCTCTGGGGAAACATTTTTCTTTTGCATCACTTCTTCAATTTTGCGGTTCTCTTGAAAAATCATAAGCATTTGGGGACAAAAACAGGGTGCTAAAAATGTTATGTCAACTTACCTTCTCATCTATGGATCATTTGTTTTCTAATTCATATAGTTACATGTATTATTCTTTAAGAAAAGCAGAAAAATGAATTGCTTTTGAACTCTGCCAGATTTTCAGACTGCAACCTCATTTCTTGCCTATTGCTTTTCTAAATCTCTATAATAATCTGGGAATCCAGATGTTTTATAATAGTTAAAGGTAATACACTCCTATCCCTTTCCTCCAAGCTAACCTAACACTCAGAAAGGGAAGAAACAGGGTCATGTGCTAAGATCACTCCAAAATTATTAAAAGAGTGTTAGGTAAGCCAAGATGAATATAACAATAAATTAACAAGGAGCTATTCATAAAATTGGGTCAGTGGGTACTGTGGCCTTTAAAATATGTTGTAGCTTTTTTGGATTTTAGTGCAAGAGAGCAAGAACCCTGAGGTATTGTTCTGAACTTCCCTCAGATGACCGGACTGCCTTTGAATGATTCTCCTGGCTCTTTATCTTAAAGGCAAACATGAAAAGTGACAGATATTTGTAGAACAAGCTCTAGTTCAGAAGTACAATGAAATGAGGGAGAATTAGAGTGAGACTTTATTAACCCTAATTAGGATTCAGTCTTATCATATGGCATAACGTATCCTTACATTTTCTTGTTTCAGTTAGTCTATAGATTGTAAAGAAAACAGCTTAAATTGGACAGGGTATTTGGGTTGTTTTCAGTTTGCGTAGGGCAGACAGCAGTTCACGCCTATCTTTTCCTCTTTTTGAAATTATTAAGTCAACTATAATTTAGGAGAGTTTTAATTTTGTGCCTGCCAGTTTTCAAACCCCTTAAAGGTAAGGGGCATGACTACTAATTTTTAAGGACTTAATTACTTGAAGCCCATCACTTATTTATGCTTCCTTTTAAAGGAGCTATACAAAATTATTAATGGTTAAATGAGATATAAAGTATACATATATATTAATTTCTCTTTAAGTACCATATGTACCTAAATAGAAGATAAACTAAGCTAGGCTACATGACTTTGGCTAAAGATCAAAATGAGACCCCTTGCTTCCTTTTCCTAAATTGCTTTATTCCTCCTCCTCCCATCCCAATAAACTGAAGATAGAAAATTTCAAGAGCAATATGAGAAAGCTAAGAAGCCTACAACCAATAAGGAGAAATATATTTGTCCCCATGGTATGAAACTGATCCAGGTTATTTAGGCTGTGGATATGGCAATATCTTCCGTTCAGGAGGAAAAACAGTTCTGGGAGGAGTTCTGTACTTCTCATACAGTGCTCTTGGTATTGTGAGGAAAAATCAATGAATTACTACTAATTTATAGACAAAGTCAAAGTGGAACAAGAAGAAAGACCAGTGGCCATTGGTAGTAAGGGTGAACAAATACACAAGGGACTGTCAGGATATTTCTTGGCCTAATTCCAGGAAGAGAAAGAGGATATGTTCACAAGTCCAAATGTTTTTTCAGTGCCATGGTTCCACTCAAAGAATTCTAGACTCTGAACAATCAGATTCCTTTTCCTAAATTCTTTCTCCCTTGAGAAAGAGCTAATAAAAAAATAGCATGAGGTGGAAAGTGAGGGCAGAAGTTACCTTATCCCTGGGCCATTCCCCACTTGCTTTCATGATTAGTATATAATTCAGGGATTAGTGTACCTTTCTTGTGGATAAGCCTAATATATACTTGATTTGCCTTCAAGTCAGGTGAATTACCAACATAAAAATATTTCTTTTCTTGCATGAAAATTAGTCAAAGTATGATAACAAGGATTTCTTGGAGGAATAAAAATGGTGTAATTGTAAGCAAAAAGACAGCTAGTCTCTTGACATCTAAGTTTCATTGGAAGAACATTTAGTACCAGTATTTCTAGAAGGAGCTTCCAAAGATATATAAGAAAATATTCATTGCAAGGTATTTATATCTTGTCTTCATTTGTATAAACTGCTTAATAAATTCCTGAGACATTGATAAATAAATTATATATCTGTCTTAACTGTGAGGTTTACAATCTGCCAACACAATAAATTCTTTTCTGTTAGCCTAGTCTTTCTTTTTTAACTTCAATTTGTGTATAATTTAAAAAATTTATATACAGTAAAATTGGCTTTTTTTGGCATAGAGTTATATGAGTTTCAACGTATGTATATATTCATGTAGTGACCACAAAACAGTTTCATTGAATCTAGTTTTTCTCTTGTACTACCCCTTTGTAGTCAGATCGTTTCCCCTTCCCCCTCATCCTGCCAACCTCTGGTGACCACTGCTCTCTTTTCTAACCCCATAGATTTGCCTTTCCAGACTGTTGCACAAATGAAATAATGCCAATTTTTGGACCACTGGGGCTGTTTCAACCAAATCCCATAGATGGAGTGGCTTATAAATGACAGAAATTTATTTCTCACAGTTCTGGTGGCTGGAAGTCAAGTCCAAGATGCTGACATATTCAATGTGTGGAGTGGGCCCATTTTCTCATAGACAGCACCTTCTCACTCTACCCTAATGTGGCAGAAGGGCCAGGGGTCTTTCTCAGGCCTCTTTTATAAGGGCACAATCCTTTTCATGAATGTTCCACTTCTGTGATGAAATCACCTCCAAAAGACCCCACTTACTATCACCTTAAGGGGTTAGCATAAAATACGTAGCTTTTGGATCTTGGCTTGTTTCACTCTGCATAGTGTATTGTGTATATGGAAAGCTCATTGCTTTTGACTGTTAAGTAGTATTCCATTGTATGGATGTACCCAAAGCTGTTCATCCCTTCCTTCATCAAAAGGAATTTAGGTTGCATTCAATTTTTGGTGATTATGAGTGAAACAGTATTAAATATTGCTGTACATATGTGTAAACATAGATTTTCACTTATATAAATACCTAGGCTTGGGACTGCTGGGTCCTTTAGTAAGTACATGCTTAACTGTTCTCCAGAAGGAATGTACCATTTTGCATCACCACCAGCAATGCATAAGAATTTTACCTGTTCTTCATCTTTGCCATTCTAATAGGCACACAGTGGTCTTTATTGTGGTTTTAATTTGTATTTCCCTAATGAC